TACAAACATTTTTCTGTAACATTTAATTTTGTGCTGGAAAACTAATGTTTGGAAATCTAAACAGTTTTTGTACTGAATCAATAATGTAGAAGTCATAAAATAAAAATCTATAACAAGTTTGTACTAAAAAAATAGGGTGCCTAAGACCTTTGCACAGTACTGTGTGTCATATACACTCTCCATAATCTAACACTAATAATAAAGAGGTTTTTTGAAAATGTTCTGTTATTTAACAAACAACTAAGGAGATGTTTATTTACCATTAATGGAAGGAGTCTCTGTAAGAGTTAGCAAGTTATTTCACTCCAGAAAAGGTTTCTTGGTAAAATGACAAACTGCATTTTTTTTTGTCTTATTACTATAACTTAATAACTATAAGAAAGAGAAAAAAAAGGAAGTGTGGTGAAGGAATGACTGCTTATAGCTACTATAATTTAAGTGATAACAGGAGATAACTTGTCTCATTGATGTTCCACAACATTAAATATAGCTATAAATTATAAAGTAGAACCTGTGGTTCACTAATAAATTAAATAGTGGGTATAAATAAATTAGATGTGGGTATAATGGGAATAAAGCCATACTGTTATTAGAATATAATCTTCTTTTTGGTGGTTACAGTAACCCTGCTTTGCATAGGGACATATCACACCAGCACACCCCCAAGTGTGATATTCCTTACACATTACTTACACAGATAACACCACCACAACACAATGCTCCACAGCATGACACTTCCACTTAGTACTGCTCATTAGCCCTTAGTAAAAAAAAAAAAAAATGTCCCAAACAGGACAGTCCAACACCTGAGACCTTTTCAGCCCAAGATTTTGTTCACAAAGAGATCACAGGAAAGCGGAGGATCCCTCAGGGTTCATTGATCGTGAGGAGTGGAGGCAGCGGCCTGTGTCATTATTGGAATGCATTATGCCTCGGCCCTTTTCCGTGCCTTCAGCCACTGAGCACACCATCGACCATCTTGTCCGATGCAACACCCTCTTCAAACAGAGAAATCCACAAGAACTCAAGCCGAACTATTTTAAAAAAAAAAGTATCTTAAAGTTTTGCTTCCTCTTTACTTTTATTGTTTTGATTGGCCTGACCACTGTTCGCTAATAAGACCACTTCCACCATCTTACATCAAGTAATTGCGTGGTATGTGTAAGTATGTGGTATTTAGCATCTGAACACTGAAAACCCAAGTGACTGATGTTTTAGCCTGCGCTCCATGCTCCATTACTTTTCAATTCAATTCAGATAATGTTATCATAAGCACATAAGCCATAAACCTTTAATGGTAAGTGGAATTTAAGCAAAGGTAAATGCAGCTTTTATAGCTGCTGTCATTATTGGCAATATTTCACTAATAGCGTTTCCTTTCAATTGTTTTGAATAGAAGGAATGCATGCAGGCCTTATCAGGCTGCTAAATAAAATGATAGCCATTTTACCATGTAAATCAGATTTATCCTGAACCTATCCCAGAATACGGGAATTAGTCATAGGATGGAGTCGTTTGATTAGATCACAGGGGCCACAAAATCTTCCAAAGTAAAATAAATGCAAACTGAAATAAAACCTTTTTGACATTTTGAGACTTAACTCTTAAATATATATAGTTCTGGTTGACACTGATTTATGACCTCATTTCCCGCTCATATTTTTTCCCGTAGACTCTGCAAAACAGTAGATGCCCCATTAGCTTGCTAATTGATATATTGCTGTTGCTTGCTACTGTGATGTATCAATGAGTCTGCCATATTGGAAACTGGCCAGTGCAAGTCTATAGAGACATGCAGGTCTGCTTAGGCTGTAACACACTTTATGTTCAACGAAATTCTTACCAAATTTGCATTGTTAAAGAGGTCAAAAATTCAGAGCAGGTCATATATAGTAAATGTGTGATTTTGATTGAGCCTAATTCCAGAAAATTGTTACAGAAAATCTTTATGTACTCTAATGATAAAAACAGATCTAGCATTCTAGACCAAGCATTTTACAGCTTATGACATACTGAATAGATCGCAGAATAAATCACAGAATATAGTGTTTTTATGTTTGATTATGTAAATAAAATACCTTTACAATAGCTTTCCTTCATTCATTCATCTTCAGAAAACACTTTGGATGGGAGGCTAGTCCATCACAGGGCACCATGTGCACACATTCACACATTAATTCACACCTAGGGGCAATTTTGTATAGCCAATCCACCTACTGGCATGTTTTGGGAGGTAGAAGGAAGCCAAAGAATCCAGAGGAAACTCACACAGACATATCGGAAAATGTGTGAAACTTGACATAGACAGTAATCTGAGCTCAGGACCAAATTAGGAACCCTGGATCTGTGAATCCAAAACACTTCCTGGGAACAATGGGCATGATGGGTCCATCACATGGCATTATGCACACACATTCACACACTCATTCACACCTAGGGCAAATTATTTTAACCAGTTCACCTCCTGGCATGTTTTTTGGGAGGTGGGAGGAAACCAAAATGGACAGGCGTGGGCAGACATGAAAATCTATGCCACCCACCCCTTCCAGAACTAACCCCAGTGGATCTTTGATTAAGTTATATTTGGCTTTGAATTTGAAATTAAAAAAAAAAAATCAATAGTTACAATGACCTGTGTTCTTTAGGTGTTGAAAAATCCATTGTGACAACTTACCCACTAATGAGGCAAATTGCCACAAGTGCACACCCTCTAACTAAGTGTCTACAGCTCTGTACTGAAATAAGATATGAAGATTATAATAAATACAAAATATGTGCCTGAGACTTCATTCTTTCATTTGGTATGATATTTAGTCCATTGTAATTCATCACGCTCAAGAAAGATAAGAAGGAGTGTTGACAACTATGACAACATGCCCCACTGTGCCCTATCAGTTTCGTATGGTGTTTTGCTTGACAAAATATCTGTGTACGAATAGTAATGATTAGTAACAATCTGTCATTTGGAGCACATTGGGTTGGTGCAAAATATAAGTGTAGTTGTTTCTTTCAGCTGCTCCCATTAGGGCTCACCACAGCAGATCATTGGTCCACATGTTTGATTTAGCAGAGGTTGTCCTTCCTGACGCAACCCTCCCATTTTATCCGAGCTTGGGACCGGCTCTGAGAGTACACTCCCAGTGGCTGGGTTGGTTCCCTGCCCGGGAATTGAACCTGGGCCGCAGTGTAGAGAGTGCAGGATCCTTAGCTGCTAGACCACCAGGGACAAAATATTAAAGTATAGTATTTCATTTAAATGTGTTGTTATTATCTACAAAATGTTTGTAATAGATTCATTAGTGTTAGAGTGTGCTGTCACTGACCACACAAAGTGTGCATGAATGATTGAGGAAACAGACATGTGTTCAAGCGTTAAGCTGTATATATGCAGAGAATGGAAAAACTTGACAAAGCCTTCAGGAAAGTTTTAACATTACTATAGTGTGTGTGTGTGTGTGTGTGTGTGTGGGTGTGTGTGTGCAAAATTATTTGCGTGTTTCTGCGAGCTCAGCCACTCTGATTCAGCATAAACCCTGTCAGAATAGAGCCTGTAGCAATGCGGTTTTTAAGAATAACTGCACTCTAACCCAGGTGTCAACTGCCAGGTCTTGCCGCAGTGCACAATTACCAGCGAGTTGTCCTAATGATGCAGTTGACCCTGCAATGTGTTTCCTCTCCCATTAACCTGTCAATTAGGCCTCACCTCCGAGCCTGTGCCGTTGTACTCGGGCGTGTGTGTTGAAGGGGAGGAGTGCTTTTCTGTTCACTAGTTCACTAGGGGAAATCTTGACTGTGCTGAAGGCCCACTTCACCATTCTCTCCCGATCTGTCCTCTTCTTGCCTGGCTCAGATTATTCTAACAAGCTCTGACACACAGCATTGGGCTCATGCATAGCCCTACGGGCACTGAGTGTGTGTATACATGTGTGTGTGTGTGTGAAAGGGGAGGGGAGGAGGGGTCAGATCGGTGCTCATTGATAATCAGGTCTTATCCCTAGAGCAGCAGTCAAACAGTACGTGGCGCATCTTTCCCTGCATCACTAATCCGTCCTACATGGCCCGGTGCAGGTGTCAGGTGCTTACAGCTTCCTGGTAATGCATGTCAAAAAATGGGACTCCAAGAGGTATACAAACACACACATTCCATTTATGTTCATCTCGAACACACACAAACACACACACACACACACTTATCTATTTTCTCTCTGATCCTGTCTCTTGTGTGATATTTAATTGGTTTATCTATTTGCAAAAGTGCCATTGCATTTTGAGCAGTGTGCATTCTTGCGTATGGCCTGATTTCTATCTGTCAGATTCCCATCAGATGCACTATTATAATGGACCCCATTAATATTTTGTTTTTAATCCTTTTTTTCCTTTTTATGCTGTTTTCTTTGTTTGGCTAATTGGCAAAATATCAGAGACCCAGAAACCTCAGAATTCAATTATAATGCTGACAGGATAAATCACAAATGCAGAACCTGATCTAGTCAAGTCTCTTGGCAGAATATTACCTGAATATATGTTTTTCACAAACTTTTTATCAGTTACTGAGTTATAGAATACCCTCCTGACTTAATTTACCATATACAATTCCATAATATAAAAACATTCTACTTGCTTATGATGTTTTCTGTAGTGCCTTTCAAATATGTACTAAGAACATATACACACACAGAGAGAGAGAGAGAGAGAGAGAGAGAGAGAGAAAGAGAAAAGGTGTGATCAAGGCTGCACCCTGGATGTTCAGTAAGGAACAGGGGCTGCACTCCCAAAGGCTTGAGCAAATCTGGATGTATGTTTTGAATTATTGATGCAATGTAGACTATGCATAATGCAAAATACATGGGCTGGGGAGACTGGGGCAAACACCACACAGGCCTGCAGTGCATCGTGGGCAAGACAGCCAGCAGCTTCCACCAGTTAAGTGCGTTCTACAGGCAAGAGCTGCTGCAGGGCAAAGAGTACTGCTGAGGATTCACTCCCATTATAAATCCATAATCCATTATAAATCCATAACACCTGTAATGTTAGCTGCAAGAACATGTTATGGTCAGTTTGAGTGGTTGTAGAAGCCTATAGGTTCCACTTCTTATGTTCTTTTGAGTTACAATTTGACTAAATGTGGAACAATAACCACTTTTTTTTTCAATTTCTTTTTTTATGTTATAGGGATTATGTTCAGGTCATTTTGACCTAAAAGTAATAAGATTCGCAATTCACTAAAGTGATGATTCTCTCAAAACTAATAATATGAAACTTTTTAATTAAAATAAAATGTAAACAAATCAATATTTGCTGTGACCACCATTTGTCTTGTATCCAGCAGTATTGAAAACAGCGTTCATTCTCTGAAGGTACACTGCCATGCAGTTTTATAGAAAGTATTTCACAGGTGGGTTGTTTCAGGAATCTTGCAGAACCTGCCACAGTTGTTTTGCAGACTCTCACTTGTGCCCAGGGTTGCCGGCAAAATCTCTCAGTAACATTACTAGTTCAACTACATTTTAAAAACTGCACAAAAGACAAGAAACTAGCCCAAAAATGTGGGCACTGGAAGAGGGAAATGAATTTTTCTTCTTTTTTTCAGCCTTTGCATGGGAAAAAAGTTCACCATGCTGTGCATGCATTTCTGATTCATAGTATCTGCAGTATGCCTTTTTATCATCGCCTGGTACATATACTATTCACTCCATAATCCTGCTTTCCCTCTCCCAATCTTTGCAATATATCTTACAACAGAAATGATTCTGTACATCACTTACACTTTGCTTTTGTTCCCTTTGTTAGGCTCTGTTTGCAAAAATTGATTAATTTCCAATTTCCAAATGTGCTTTAATAAACAAATAGTTGGAATTAAAGATTTTGTCAGTCATGGACTATTTTAAAAAAAAAAAAAGATTTGATGGCCAAAGATTTTTATTTAAATTAGCCCAAAAAATGCCACACATAGACTTGCTTTTTCCACCCACAACTTTGTTAAAACTCTCCCAATTTGGCGTAAAAAACCACAACTTTGTTTGCTTTATTACTTGGTAGTGTTACTTTCCTTAATGACATGCAAACATTTCTTTTTAACATTTAATCTTTGTTTCTGGAAATGTTTGAAAACCTCACATTTTTGTACTCACACACTAAGATATCCAAGCCTCTACATCTAAATGTACAGTGGGGTCCAAAAGTCTGAGACCACATTAAAAGACGGCATTTTCTTTTCATTCAAAACTTAGAATAAACAGAAAGTTCAAATTTTGAAATGTTATTGAAATGTTATGTTTCTGTGAAAACATAGGAAAGAAAACATAATATAAAATAATATGTTTAGTATATCTTGAATATCCACTATCCAATATTCAGCACTATTTCTAGGTCGTAACTGAAATGTAAGCAAATTTGTGATGTTAAGATTTTCCCCGAGTCTTATCCCTTTTACTGAAACACATGTTCAGACAGCACTTCAGTAAATTTGATCTAATACGGATCATCAGGTTTTACGCAAACTTTAGCTTGTGGAGTCCGTGCCAGCTAAAGTGCACGCTGTCATTAAAGCGAAAGCAGAATTGCATTAAAGCATTAAAGGATTAAAGGAAAAAGTCATGTAAATATTTCTGAGATTCTACTTTTCACTCACATTGTCACTGATAATGTAATTTGTAATGAAAAATTTTGTATTAAATTAGAAAAGAATGCAAAATTGAAAGATTTTCAATACCGGTCTCAGACATTTGGACTCTTTTGGACCCTTATGAGTAGGTAAAAAAAATACAGTGGAACACAAAGTCAACAGATTGCATTTCAGACTGTTATTTATGTGAGTCACTGGATATACACATGCAGACGATTTCCACTTGAGAACTGTCTTTGAACACTGGTTTGACCTCCATGTATAAGTCTACTCAAACCCACACTAACAATGAGACATGAGAAATGAGAAATCTCACTAGATGATAATGAGCTGTATGACTTAAATGCTTACAAATCTTAATCACAAAAAAAAACATTTCGGTGTGGTTTTCACACTTTCTGCAGCCCCGTACCTCCTCCAGTGTGAAAGAAAAATGGACTTATTTTAAGAACCTAATGCAGCTACTACGCACAGGGACATCAAGCATTTATCTGCTGGAGCCATTAGAGCTTTTTATTTCTGAACTTTCCACCCACAGATTACAGTTAAAATGTGTTAAATTGTACATTCAAAATGTCTTAAAATTGCAGCTAGATTTAAATTGGCATTGTTTATACTTGTTTTTTAAGATATTAAACAATTAGATTAAGCCAATTAATTTCTCAGTTAGGTTTGCTTTAACTATAATAAAATAATTACCAATAGATCACAACGATTAACAATTAACATTAATTTCCTGTGATATTTAAGTAGTTAATAGTGATGTCCACCAACACAGGGTCATAAAAGAATACCCAGTTTTAGTCTTAATACTTAATACTTTAGTCATTGTAATAATAATAGCACACACATATCATCATCATAACAAGCAAACATTATATTCTGAAAAATGCAGCCATTCAGAATACCCAATCATAGCAAGACAGAAACAGTTTATCACAAAAAAACAGCCCTGAACAGCCCAAAGGGTTTTCTATTGGTTACTGAAATTAAGGTTCAGGTTAGATTTACGTGTATGCGTAGCATTACTTAGCTGCATTAATAATTATGTCATTGGACCTCAGAAGGACAGTAAGACAAACGTGTGTGTGTGTGTGTGTTTTGTTTTTAAGCCTAACAGAAAATAGATAACAAAAAAAGAATATGAAAGTGAAGAAACTTCTATTTGCCTTGAAAAAAATAATAAAACAAAGAAAAAAAATTCCATTTCCATGTCTTCCAAGGGGCCTTACAGGGTTGTGAGACAACGATGGTACACAGTGGCATAAAGCCACGGCCTTATTTGGGACAAAATGTAATAAAAATGACGATGTCTGTGGGGAAAAACAAGCCGTCTTGGTCAATAGATTTTAGTGTCAAGCGAGTGTCCCGTTTCGGTTGGCAGAACGCATTGCAGAGGAATACAATTTTCACTTCTGGACCCCTACATGCGTGAATCCCCCGGACAGTTTGGTGAAGTGGAAAGAGAGGATGGTGGGTTCTGTGGAGCTGCTAAAGTGCTTTCATGCAGACAAAACTCTGACAGGAGTCTTTCTCCCACCTCCACCCAGGCACCTGACCATGTGACATCTGGCCTCCTGGATTCAACGCTCGCATCACTT